TTTTTTTTTTTTTTTTTTTTTTTTTTTTTTTTTTTTCTAAGTGTTGGCCCAACTAGGCATTGCGGAGGAAAATGTTTTCTGTTCTCATGTGTTAATAAACTTGAGTACTGCTCAATAAGCTTGAAAACAAATGGAGGTTTGGTGTAGAATCGGTTAATATCTCGCTCTTGTCTCAATTTTTTCAGATGGTCTTTCATTACTGCCAGAAGGAGTGACTCCCACGGCAGCGGTGATCGGAGTAGTTGCCTTGGCTGCGCTCCTCGCAGCGAGCTGGCCGGCAACTGGAATGCGGATGTGCAGTCTCCTAGGAACTTGTCAAGATTACAACCTCCCGACCGTTGGAACGGCCTACAACAACGACGCTTATTCCTACAGCAACCCTCCTCCGTACACCCCCACAACCTACCAAAAGAGGTGAGGCTCTTAGTAAGTTCATCTTTGTTTTACGTTCCATATGCTCGGCGCCTTCAATATGTCACGTATGCAATGCGGTCATCCAAAAGGCAGGGATAGTTACTATAGGTGTTTCCGTTTACTGTTGCACCCTTGAAGCAAATATTGCGAAATAAATGGACAATGTTTTTAGCCAAAAGGAACCAGGGGAATTTTAAAAAAATGAGGACGAGTTGTTTTGAGTGTTTCTAGGTTTTGATATCCTCTGCAATATATATTATGTCTCAGAAAACTGTTTCGTAAGAATCAAATTAACCTGAATTTGGTTTTTTACAAAAGATATTGTGGAGAGATGGACTTTCAAAGTTACTTACTACTTAACTTCGTTTTTAGTCAATGACACTTGGCTCTTTTTGCTGAACGCTTCCCAAATTGCGTAACCTTTATCATTCGTAGGGAATTTCTTCCTGACTTTTTAAGGACAAATAAAGCGTCCTCAAGGCTTGTAAAGTACACAGAAAGAAAAAGTATATATTTAATTTGAAATTGTATCCTAATTTTGAGATTGAAAATACTTTTAAAGATGTTTTTAATATATTGCTGTCTAAGTAGGGGGCAACACTAAATGGCCGCATTTAAATCAATAGTGACAGTCTCCCATTTGACCTGGTCCTTGATACCAATGAGAATAGGTAAACGTATAGTAAGACCCATACCACAGTGAATGATAAATTATTATGATTCGAATACGTCAAAAAATGTTATTACTAAACTATTTTGGAGAGCCACTCTTCTCATATTTATGGCAAAAGTGTGGAACCGGGTATTGCGACGTTGCGGACTTCCTGTCATACTATATTTTTTCATTGGAAAATTAATCAACTTAATTGCTTGAAAAGTTCTTCCGTTTTTTTGTTGCTTTAATAGTGGAATATTCCTTCGAAACTTCAAGCTCTACGGTTGACCAATTTCTCATCGAAAAAATAAAGTAGGGGCAGAGATTTTGAAACACCGCAAAGGAGATACGTGGTTTCGCAATTTAGCCATCGATACATACGATAGTCTAAATCAGTTGTATGGGGCCGGATATGCGGGTTTCATCCCCTCGGATCCAGATGAGGGGGGGGGGCAGAACAAAACTTCCCGCGAGGGACAAGTGGACAGAAACGGCGTGAAAAGAGGATAATTCAATTACAGAACTCTGGATCCGGCTTCAGGGAAGTGAGGAGCATACTCATGGTCGGCCGGCGTGGCGCTATGGCCGGACAGCATCGATGGGGGGAGGAGAGGGGGGAGGGCAGATAAATCCGTAGAGATATAAAATAAATAAAACATCAAGGGAGTTTTATAAATCGAGCGACCGCACGGCGCGGTGTCGATAAATAAGATCGGAACACGGAAAATCGAACGCCACTCGCATCCTGATCCCAACGCCGCACAGTGGACCGAGTTAGTAGGTGAGGTCGGATAAAGTTAGGAAATTTTAAATGCTTATAACTCCGTTTATTCAAAAGTGTGAGGCACTAAAAGTGGTCTCATTGGTTTTCTCGTGAAATTTTCTTTTAGGAGCATCCCTGAAAATCTAAAATGTGACGAAATAAATATCGAAATTCGCAGTTTTAGTTAGAAATGTCATGTCCGACCTCTCTAATTGACTCGTTCCACTGTGTGCCGTTTCGGTTCAGCTTGGGGTCTCCAGTTATGCCGGATGATATTGAATGCATCCTCATTTCTCCACACGAGAGAATGGAACTCCACTCTAAGGTTTCAAAATTGACTCAAACAATTCAGTTTTTACAGTAATGAAAATGAGAGAAATTTCGCCCTCTCACTTTCGATGTATATAAATTTTAGGCGACGCGTTTCGGAGCTAATGGAGCCCCATCATCAGCAGCAGCGATGATGATGGGGCTGTCGATGAGGCTCCGTTACCTCCGAAACGCACCCTTAAAATTGATATACATTGCAAGTAAGTACGCGAAATTTTTATCATTTTAATATTTGACTTATAACTATCCCCATGCAAAGTCTTCACAGTATTGTAACTGTGAAATTCTTGTCCAATTTTCTTTCTGATTCTTAGAGATCGTAGGAAAAATCAGTGAAATATCGAGTTGGGAATGTTCAAAATTCCCCCTGGTAAAAATGCAGTTTGTGAGGAAAGATTTGGCTACATTTGAATGTAGTCACACTCTTTCTTGGGGGTGTGATATCATTCGATATCGAATGATAGGTATGACATTCAAATGACGATATCATTCTACGTAGCAGGGTAAAAAAAGGAGGTGGAAATCCATGTATTTCAATCCGCGAAGACCCCGTTAGTGGGTAAAAATTTTGATCTCTAGTTTTCGATGCCGGACACTTGCTGATATTTTAAAAAACATGGCAACAGCGCCGATAAACTTTTACAGCGGTCTTCTCAGGTCCCCATCTCTCGTACTCTGACTCGGAATTGTTGCCGAAGGGCTAGTTCATAAAAATTGTGAGTGTTATTTGCGCCAAATGATTCAAAATCAACCCCGCTCGGCGTGTGTAATACGTGTGTATTTATTTATCTCATTCTTCTCCCTATTTTACATGGTAAAGTATATTTTTGCAATAACCGAACCCCGAAAGGTCAGCAGCTGGAGCCGAGATTTGCGTTGCCAATTGCCAAAATGCAGTAAAATTGTCAAGAGCACCGAATAGTGTTGCCAAGGATCCGACAATTTTGTCGAATTCTTGCTACAGGGATTGCAAATCTCGTCTCTAGCTGTTGGCATTTTTGAGATACGGATGCCGAAAAGTTGTTTACCGCATGCATGAGTCACATTTTTTAATTGTTTCCTGTAAGTTTTATATTATTTCTCATCTACAAGTAGTTTGAAATATTACTTGCTTAATTTCTTTTTGGCTTGTATATGGCGATTTTTTTAATTAATTGCCATGATCTATGCACCTTAGCCAGCCAATTTGGCTTTAAAATGAAGATATTTGCCATTTGGCATGCCTACACTGCCGTGCTAAGGAAGAACGCCCTATGAACATTCGAGAGTTGTCAAATTTTCTCCCATAAAATGTTCATTTTTGAGGAAAGTTGTGAATACTTTTCCTTGACATTATCAGAAAATTTAGATCAAATTATAAACAAAATTATCTGAGAAATTGGCCGAAAAATATTCCGAAGTTTTTCTATAAATTAGCGATTTGCCGAAGGAAATTTGGCAACGCCTGGAGGTTCATACGGCGTTTCTCCTTAGCACGGCAGTACATAAGATACCCTGCGCATGCCCCAGCTTTCAAAGTACTTCTTAAGACTGGGGTCTTATCTCCCCTCTGCGAGCTGGGATGGCGGTAGCCGCGGACGTAAGTTTAAAGGTAACGAGCTTTTCCCTGTTCCTTGTTACAGGTCGGTGAGCTACGTGGAGCCGATCCTGAGACTGCTGAGCTCAGCCTATTTGCAGTACGGGGACACGCGCGCGGCCAAGGCGGTGACGTCATCAGGAGCCCGGCGACAGAGGAGACGCCGCTAACCGCCGACTAAGCCAACCTCCGCCCGGGCCCTATGCAATCTGCACATCTCCTTATCTCCTCCTTCTGCATCACCAGCGTCGTCTCACTCAAAGCGCCTCCGGCCGTGTCAACAGACGCCCAACTTAGATCTCAACTTTTGATTAGCCCGTCAAGAACCAAGTGTAATCCTGAGCCCGCCTTATCTAATTCCGGGAAAGTTCCCCCGCTCCGCAGCGGAAGTTGAGCCGGCGCAACCACAATATTTAGTCATGCACGCTCCAGCCTCGATAATCAGACACCGGCTACGGACAAGCTCGAGATGGGATTAATAAATAGAAATGTCACCCGTCGAAGAGACGCGCACCGGGAAAAATTAGATGCATTGCAAAGAAGAAAACCGTTTCCTTGATTCTACCTCCTTCTGCCAGGGGGAAAACTCCCCGCTCCCCCGAAACCACTTTTCAAGGGTCATTCTTAAAATATGTAACGCTGAATTTCGGATTTTTTTACCTCCTTCCCTCCCCTTGCACTGGAGAAAAGACTCTTAGATCCAGAGCCCAGACTCTTAAAAAATTTGACCTGAAAAAGTACTCTTGATTCAATGGGATTTTTGCTTGAATCAAAAAGAAATCCGCTTGAATTAAGAGGCTCGGCTCTCGATTCAAGCGAAAATCCGATTGAATCAAGAGTATTTTTTCTTGACAAATTTTTTAAAACTTTCTGGACTCTAGATTAAAGAGACTTTTTTCCAAATGTGTAATGGTTTTGTGATTAAGTATTTAATTTTGCCTTTGGAGTGCGTACCTGATATTGAGTTTTACTCCAAGTGAATTTCAAGGCTCATTGCTCAGTGCCTCGTGGATCTTCAGTAGTATAAAATACGCGATGTTTTTCGTAAGTCGTCGCAATTCCGCGAACTTGTCTTAAACTTTTAAAATCTTTGAAAACGAATATATTCTACAAGGCAGTTATTACCCGAAACTTATGCTTTGAATCAGCTTGCTTCATATTTGATTCGTGCTTTGAGTACAAAACAAGCCGATTCAGCGCGCAAGATGCGGGTAGTAACTGTCCTGTGTAACATGTTCGTTTTTCAACAATTTTAAAAATTTAAGACAAGTGTTTTATTTCATTTCAATATCAATTCATTTTTGGGGTATATTGGACCCTTAGTTTGTACGAGACACAAAACATACCGGTAATGAAATGCAGTGTATGGCTTGAAAACTAGTAACCAAGCTCTCTTATTGTAAATAGCTTTACCTATATGAAAAACAATTGAGTTTTGTATTTTATTTGAATATAAATGTTTTGAATCTCAATTTGATGTTATTTGTTGTCAGTCAAATATTTTTTCAGGGCACCCTCTAAATTTCATCTCTTTTGATTATTTTTTCCCTATTTATTCAACAAGGAGGATTATGATTGAATTAAATTGATCCAATAATATCAAATTTTCATGGTTTTTAGCCTCTGAATGGGATCAATAGTTTTTAGATCAGCAGAATGAAATTTAAGCATCCAAAAGAAGCAAAGAGCAGTAAGCATATGCAGAGAGAAGCATTTTGTACATGGTTTTGAAAATCTGAAGATCAGCCATGCAATTATGCATTGATTTTTTTTCTATCAAATCTTCTAAAAATTAAGAAAAAAAAAAGAAATTGGATTTTATTTAAGGTCTTTATCTCCATTCAATAATTTCACATAATTAGCCATGTGCAGTTTCAGAGTTACGTAAAATGTATTTTATTCGTTTAATCGATTTTGTTAATCTATATAGCACCTTGTCTCCACGGAATGTTTCGTGGGATCTGTCCTAGTTCAAATCGTACGAATGAAACTTCTGGGCTTTTACCCCGATAATCAAAGCAACAAATTTTTTTCTCTCTGAATCTCTCTTAGGACCCCACAGGAACTTTGCTTGGTACTGTGATTAGTATTGACTAACTCAATATTTTTCCCAACATAAGTGAGATTTTTCCCTGGGACGAATCTCATGAAACGTCCCGTGAAGACAAGGCCTAAATTGATTATAGTTGAAGAGCCACATTGATTTTAAATGCATCTATTCTGAAAGTTATTAGGCACCGTAATTTGCCGTTATATTTGGATAAAACGAAATTAATAAAACTGTGGTAGAACATCGAGAGGTAATAGGTTCCTGTACATCATATGAGTAGACCTCTAAAATTGTATATTAATGAAATCCTTACATTCATAAAATATGCAAATAACAAACATACTACGGACATCACGTGCGTTTTTCAACTAAATCATATATTCCAGGATGATTCTTTATTTTTCTTCTTTTAAACTTGATAACGGCATTAAAATGGGTGGGAGTGTCAATGGCAATTCATAATAAGTTTCGGGCCACAAACATATATTTTCAAACGTCGCATTTTAAAAGAAATAATAATGATAGGCATGCAGTATTTTTAAATGTCACTTAAGCAAATAGGAACAGACAAGGATCCTTGTACGAGGACCATGTTGGAATAATTTTACTCAAACTTAAACTATCCTCCATGAGGATCTTGGGAGAAAAATTGACTCTTTGAGTCATTTCATTGCCTAAACGAATGAGTTCTGGAGCCACTTATGTCTTGGTTGGTACATTATTATTAATGGTATAAAACTCCCGAACCTAGTATCTTGGTTTCAGACTTTGCAGACTTCCTGTCATACTTAATTTTTTAAACAGAGAACTATTCAACGTCAATTCTGAAAAACTTCTGTGATTTATCTTCTCGATGCGAAACAAAGCTGAGAAAACTTCAGGGTGTGATGTTGATTTGCTCTCATTTAAAACAATAAAACAGGAGCGGAGATTTTTTTTGCTGAGAAAACTTCAGGGTGTGATGATTGTTTTCATTCAAAGCAATAAAACGGGAGCGGAGATTTTTAAACACCGCAAACAAGAAATGTGGTTCGGGACTTTTACCGTCGATATTGAGGAAAGTCCGGGTGACATCATTTGTTGATCGTTACCGTGCAGCGAATTTTGACCAGGAAAAAGGGTGATCATTCAAATGAACCAGTTTAGCGACTAAATAACGCATTGGGGAAAACGACATCTCAATTAAATTAAGGGTACCTCTATCGCAACGTCTGTAGATGTCCGATGTTTCGCAAACGGAAAATTAGGAAGGAAAAAAAATGATAATTATTCTCCTTTGAACTTTCTTTGAATATGTTGGAATGAGTAAAGAAAATTCGATAAAATTTTTAAACTCACGTGCACATAAAAATATTAAATTGCAGGAGTATTAAATTAAGAGTCGCGCTAAGGATACCGGAATTGCGAGCCGGCGAAACGTGTCCGCAATTTAATATTTTTACGTGCATGTGAGTTTAAAAATTGTATTGATCATTTATCTTGTGCAGGTCTCCCAACGAATCCTGGAAGAAAATTCAGTTAAATCAAAATGATACCTCAAGTTGATATTCTTTCTATAAAATAAAACCCGAGGATTTTGCACGTCGCAATGAAAGTTTGTATAGGAAAAGCAACTTGATACATGTTCCCTCCCAAATGCCACCTTTAAATTACACGGAGCCTTATGGCAGAAAGGTAGTTTAACGTCACTTTTTGGTGCTTTAGAGTTGGATTTTTTTAAGTTGTGAATTTTTCACAGAATATACTCTCAAACTTTTTTAAATGACGTTCATGAATACCTCAATTTTTTCAAAAACTGCACGCATTTGCCTTGTCCTACAAGTCCCTCAGTTCTTTACCATGACAAATCCCACTTCCACTCGGTCCAGCACGGTCCGGGCCTCGAGCCTTGTGACTTTTGGTTATCACGAGTTGAAAAACAGCTTAAGAGGCAATTCGACTGACGATATCAAACAATTGATTGAAACATTTTTCAACTCTCTTGCGAGAAAAGATTTTAAAAGAACTTTTCTGGTGACTTGGAATGAATGAATGCGTCGCTGAACACAGTGAAAGAGGATACTTTGAAAAGTAAAGAAAAGCAGGATCTTTGACAAAGTAGAGTAAATTTCGTTACTTTCAGTAAATATATGAACTTATTTTCAATAATACCATTTTATCTTTAAACTTTTTTTTCTTTTGTTAAAAATGCTGACAATCCTCGAGGGGTCAATTTGGCACGTCATGTGCTGTATCTTAAGCAAATTGTAAGTTTCGTAGTTCAATTTGGTCTATTTTACTGGTAATTTTTAGCACTATAACTTTACACTAACCAGATTTTGATTTCTGCCGTCTTTCACTCAGTGGGAAAAAAGGGAAAACACGTTAGGACAGCTTGCCGTAAAACCGTCATCATTCCAAACTCGAAGAAAGTATAGAAGTTTTAAAATAATATTTAATTGAAACATACATATTAAAATATGTGGTTCGCAAACTGCGTAAACAGGACAACGCAAGAAAATAATCCTACCCTAAAAAAGTATGCACCATTGAATGAATATTATGATGAATAAGAAAAAGTTAATAAAACAGGAAGATTTTCTTTTATGAAATAAGTCTCACATTGATGCAAAACCTTAAAAACAAAGACAACAGTCAACGAAGAGAAGTGATTTCATTGGCAGAAGTTGTTTTTTCGTAACTATTTCTCTGTGAGTTTTGTGTTGAGACTAATGCATTATTTATAAAATGCATGCATCAAATGCTTTTCGAACTAAAGATATTTGTGATTCAACATATATCAGATAAAATGTCCCGTAAGTTAGAAACTAGAGTTGTTCAGTACTGCTGGAAGATCGATATGAGGTCTGGGAGAAAAATTTTCAGTCCTTCAGGCTGAGCGCTATGAATACTCTGCAGAATGCCGCGTCTACATTTCAAATCATACTTTGCATTATGCGCCCTTGTGAAAAATGTTTGAAATGAATCATTTCTGAAGTTTGAAAAAACGCCGGCAATTATAGGTGCATGACCTCTCTCGGTCAAAATGACACAACTATCCCAACAAATGGGTAAACTTTCCTAGACATTTTCAATTTCTAGACGCTATCAAGACAATAAGACACTCGCGAAACAATACCATTGAGATGTGAAAAATCAAAATATGACAACAACGCCTTGCTAAGGAAAAACGCCGCATGAACATTCGAGAGTTTTCAAAATGCCTCCGATACAATGCTTATTTTTGAGGAAAATTATGAATATTTTTCCTTAAAATTTTCAGTCACTTTGAATCAAATTACTGACAAACTTGTCTGAGAAACCGGCAGAAAAATATTCAAATATTTTCCTGAAAATTAGTGATTTGTCAGAGAAAATTTGGCAGCGCCTGAAGGCTCATACAGCGTTCTTCCTTAGCACGGCAGAGCAGAACAAGGCTCTCAAAAGCGTACGGCGCTTTGATACCACTATACGTGCTTTATGGATGTGCTTGAAGTATCATCAAAATTGAAGGCGAAATGAGACACCTGGTCTTGACTCCGACTTCGTGCCGTGCTTGAGGACGACCTGTTTCTATCTAAACGAAACAACAATCCCCGATATCCGAGCCCATCTTCTGCGGAACTGCAAACCCACGCAACTCACTTTGCAACGTTGCTAATTTTCTGTCGCATTTCAAATGTCCAAATAACGACTTACTGTGACGGACACATGGTCCGGTCGTCTGGTGTTTTTATACAGTTTTGACAGCGGAACTTTTTTTCTCACCTGTTGAAGATTCTAAATGCGAATCCAAATTTGTTGACAGAATATCCTTCCATACATTGGTAACCATGAATAGATGTTGAGTTTTTGCAAACTATGTTTTCTTTCCTTTGGTCAACTAACTATGGACGTCAAGACAAGGCATGAATTAAAGCACAACGCTACATGTTTTTTCTTCAAAATTCCACAAAGAAAACAAATCACATGACAGAATTCTGAAAATCAACCCCTGAACAAGATATAAAGTTTTCTATTTAGATTGGTCAAATGACAAAAATGCGAATGACGTCATTTGTATGATCTAGCCTCCTTTTGATCTGTTTTGAAAGTACTTCATATCTCGTTCAGGAGTTGACTTCAAAACTTTCCGTTGTGTGCATTGTTTTCTATGTAAATTTTTAAAGAGAAAACATATGAAAAGCTTGGAAGACAAAGCTCCTAGGTGCAGTTTTTGGAAAAATTGAGATATTCATGAACTCAACTAAAACTAGTTTAAAAGTACATTTTGTGAAAAATTAACAACTAAAGTTCAACTTTAAAGCATCAAAAGTGAGTTTAAACTTTCTTTCCGCTTTAAGGCTCCATGTAATTTTGAAACTTTAAACACGTATTTCTTGAAAGAGCAAAAACTACACTTATACGCTTTGTCCTTAAAGCCCCTGAGATAACGTTTCTTTTGCTTCAGACCTTGTCTAGTTGCCCATTTTAGTTTTCTTAAATATTTGTAAAATAAGCATGGTTTGACGGGATATCGAGGAGTTTATTAAGGTGATTCGATGGACGCCATATTTTGTGTCAGAACGGCATGCACTGTATTACATCAATTGGTTCCATTTTTTCAGCTACTCACTCGTCATTTTTTTCCAATTTTGAGATCGCAATTCTGTTGTCAGGAGACTAAAGCACTCCCTTACCAATTTTAACAAAGAAATTCAACGTAATTAAGGCGTGTTTTTTTTAGGGAGAAAATATCGCTTTCGAGTGCAGTTTCGATATCAGTATCGAATGCCATGTTTTCTCTCTAAAAAAACCACGCCTTTATACATACATACATATCAAGCCGCTACCTCAGCGCACTAGAGTGCTCTGCGACTCCAAATCGCCATCGGAATCGATCCTCCCACAAATCATCGGGCAGATTACACCGTCTGATCTCCCCCTCCACTCCCTCCCGCCAACCTTTTACTGGACGTCCACGCCGCCTTCTTCCGGGAGGAACCCATAATCAAATACCTTTCTGGGCAACCTACTATCTGCCATTCTCCGCACATGTCCATACCAAACCAGCTGCCTGGTTTTGATATCGTGCACAATATCTTCCTCAACTCCCATTATTTCACGCACTCGTTCATGACGAACGCGCCTTTATTACTTTTAATTTATTTATTAAAATTGGTAAGGGAGTGCTTTAGTCTCCTGACAACAGAATTGCGATCTCAAAATTGGAAAAAAATGACGAGTGAGTAGCTGAAAAAATGGAACCAATTGATGCGATATATCGCATGCCGTTCTGACACAAAATACGGCGTCCATCGAATCACCTTAAAGCGTCCTCGAAGCTCAGCCGTAGCTTTGTGAAATTTTGAGGGAAATTTGGAAGCGTGAAGGAGTCAAGATGGCTTTGATGATAATTAATTAGTGTAAAATTCCAATTCCAGTTGCACCGAGCGAGCTGCGAGCCGAGCCGAGAAAAGCTCCAATTGTCTGCGAGCTCGCCCAGGGACGAAGTTCCAGTTCCATAGCCTTTCCGTCACGGATTAACTGATAAAAGTTAAACTTTTCTAATATCCTCTCGCGCTAACAAGCCCAGGAGCTATATCCAGCCTGTTGCAACACTACGGCTTCGTTTTTGCAGTTGTCCGGGCTGTGCGACGCCAAACTGTGCGAAGGATAATTTTCTGCGAGAAAAAGACAACTAAGGGGCTTGGAGGACAAGGCGCACAAGTGCAGTTTTTGCTATTTTGAGAAAAACGTGTTTGAACTTTCGAAATTACACGGATCTTTATGGTGGAAAGAAAGCTCAAATTAATTTTGGATGCTTAAAAATTTGATTTTCAAAGTGAATTTTAAAGTGAAATAATTGATATCTCATTTATTTTTTCAAAAACTGCACTTGTTTTACCTGTTCATCAAGTCCCTCAACCGATGAGTTTGAAAATCATGCATATAGAATACAACTACCAACGAAGATATTGTTTCAAAAACTTTATCTGTAAATTTTCACCAATTTAAATACAAAAAAGGCTCAAATTAGCAATTTTCTTTTCGTCGCTCCAAAAGAAAAAATTACATAAATAAAATAATGTAACCGTAATTACGGAAAATGCGATAAAATCCGTGTTTCCAAGCTATATAACGATTTAGAACTCATTTGGTGTCGAAGTATCTTTTGTAAATTTCGATTAATTGAAGCAGTCGACTGTCAACTTCGATTACGATTAAACGATCAGTTAAAAAATCGACCACCCCCACCCAAGGCGCGTCTACGGGAGGGACACAAAGAGGAGAAAAATGCATCGTACCTCGAAAAAACAAGAGTCAATGGTTCATTAAGAGATAGAACTCGGTTTGCCGGAAGATGGCCAAAAGGAGGATACAGGTAAAAAAGGCTAGACAGTATTTTGCCGTGCAAAATAACAACCGCGCACCCGCATTGTAGTTCCATCAGAGTTAAGTTGTTGTGTCCGGATTGAAGGACCATTGAACAATTGAGTGGAGCAAAAACCGCGCATCTCCGCAAGAATTCAAAGGACTTGAGTGGTTTCAAAAAGCCGGACAGCATTGGCGACGACGCGACGCCCTGGCACGCTGCCTTGGAGAATAGGACCCTCTGAGTTGTCTGGACGGTCTCGACACCAAAGTGCACTTAACGATGACCGGACATCCCTTTCACAGGTGCCAAAAGACGTTTTAGGCGAACGCTTCCGTTAATCAAACGCGCTCCTCGTCGAGTGTTTTTAACACTCCCTTTTTTTCACCCCCAGTGGGTCACCCGCGGCACGCGGCGAGGGGGTGGCCATTCAAATCCACCCCCAACGCAAAACCCCTCTCTCCGATGTTTATAAATACAGGTCAAAACAATGAGGGGCCCTATCAGTTTGTGTTTGTGTGTCGTGTCCGGTGGTCAGCGAGAACTTCAAAAAATCAAGTGAGTCCGTCGTACTAATTTTATTGTATCAAAATTTTTTTGAATTCTGCGGTAGCAACCGTTTTCAAAATAATGCCAGGAAGTGATTTGTTTTAATTTGTATTTTATTGATTTACGGAGGAATGATTTTACATTTTTCATTTAAATTTTTACTAGTTTTCTCGAAAATAATTTATCTAAAAACGAGTCCAGCGTGTGGTTCTTTGTTTTACATGATTCTCTCTGTCCCCTACTTTTTCGGTTTCTTTACATCGAGTACGTATGCCATTCCATATAAAAGAAAGGAATATTAAAAGAAAACAGGAGCAATTTAATAGAGCAATCGTAAAATGGACACGTTTATAAATTATGTTATTTCTTAGGAACCGGCAAGATATCTACAAATGAAATAATCGATCGCAAAATGAAACTTTCGTATATCACTTGATTCACCGTCCCGCAGTCCGAAATTTCATTTTGTTTATTCAAGCTGTTTTCTCTTGGTCCTATAAGTTTTCTAGTATGCACGCCTGTAATTTACCACTGAATTTTTTCAAGTAAAAAGTTAATCATTCATCTACCTTCCCCATTTTTTTAGAGTAGTGCTTCTTCTTTGATCAATAAACCCATTAAAAATTTGGATTGAGAAAAGAAAAACACATTCTTTTCAATGACTCAATACTCATGGTGTGTCAAAATGTTGCGCTTACTTGAATTTTTAAAAAAACAAAATTTACACATTTCCTCTCGATATGTCTTAAGAATACAGAAGTAGTAGTAGTAGTAATCTTCGCATATTTTGAAGCGGAGCCATACGAACTAAAGTCATTAACGAGAATTTTTTCGAAAAAGTGAAGGAAAATTGTGCAATTTTTTTCAAATGATAAAACATTGATTTCGCCCCAAAATTACGATAAAATAGGAGATTTTCGACGTTGAGAACCAAATTAGCTCCTATGTTGTTTTCTGGTCCATCAAAAATGACATGCCAATCATAATTATATCAATGTTAAAAGGTTTTAAATTTGCACGTTCACAAAATACCTGTCATATTTTACTTTTATGCGAGAAAACCAAACGTTTTCAATGCGTTGACTTCCGCTTAATTTTCCTCAAACCAACTAAAAAAATTTTCTTACAATTTTATTGTATAATCTTCGTCAGATTTCCTTCAAATGAATAAAATGGTAGTGAACATTTTCGGACACTTTAAATGTTTGCATACTTTCCGTCCGTATACTTCCATCGTTCATCCATATCAGGTCCATTTATTATTCGAACAGTTCCTGGCAGTTTTTTATTAAGCCCAAGAATTTGCTCGTCGCGTCTAGGGAGCAGCTCACTACACCAAGAAAAATTCCAATTCTTACAAGGAGAGTTTTCTTGTTGTATCCCTCTTTTTATGGTTACCACATCGATAAAATATTTCGCTCCAATGAGCAAACTTCCGTTATTACGACTCAACGTTCACTCAAAGTAATAAGTAAGCTCCTACATGCAACAAGTATTTGTCTCAGTGTGCAGGGGGAAAAAACCAAGGTTGAAATCATCAAATTATTAGTATTGAATGTGATTTCTTATAGAATAGAGGCCACAACCAACGATAGTGATATTCTTACCATTGAATGATTAATTCATCACCCTCCTGATTTAAGGACGTAATTACACTTCGCGGTGAACTTTGACGTCCATAAAACTCAATGATTTCCTGGACTCAGGTCTGAGTGTACTTACGCGCTTTTGTCAGCCGAGGGATAAATTCATCAACGTAGTGATAATAAACTACCAACTTATAAAACTACTGATAAAATTATCACCGAATGAAAAAATACCGATACTGTTCGTTTGACCTCTTTCGATTCAGAGTTCATACGGAACAGAATTACCAGTCGAGCTCTCGCATACGTCATGAATTTGTGATTCACGAAATTTTTTTATATCTACTCTCGAGAAACACAATGTGCCACTAATTTTCTCTTAGGCGAACGCCCAAGCTTAAAAATAAGCTAAAAATTGATGCCGAAGTGGAGAATATTTCCCACGCTAAGCCGAGGGTCCATCTCTATATCCAGTCTACTCTCGATGCAAAGCTAGGGAGCGAATACATTAACAGCATTGCCATTTTGTGCAGGACTCCAAAGTTGCAGCTTTTGAGTGACCGCGCTAACATATTTGCTCTATTCATATGCATGAAGGGTTTGACGAAATGTAGAGGTGGACGATGGACCCTCATCATAATTAAGGGAGTCACCTCCATTACGACCTCAACTTTGAGAACTTTTTTGAGGTTGGGGGTTTCTTTTAGAGAAAACCAGTGGATTTATTTTATTTTTCACAAAATTTTACATGGGCAACAATACTTTCATCGCAAATTCCTGGTGTACGCGATAACTTTCTTTGGTTTTTTTAGTCTTAGTCTTTTCTCAGTGTGCAACGAAAACCTGCCACAAACCAGTGATGAGGCGTGAATGATCGCTTATCGATATTTGCCCATTTGAGCTTGTGGTAAAGATTCGATTATTAAAGTGTTCATCAGGGACACTCTCTGTATCGATTATTTTCCTTAGGTTTAAATGACAGATAAATTGATGTATCGCAAAGCACGCCACGCCACTGAACGAAACGTCTTCCTTCATTTTAATGGATTCAATTTTTCGCAAGTTCAGCGAACATTGTATTACACAATGTCTAAAAGGTGGTAGCAATGCATATATTGGTATGAAAGGTGTAGCCAAGTGCTAGAAATAATGTAACATTTTTCTAAAAAAAAAAAACACCTACATTTTACTAATAAACTTTGATAGAAGCTTTTCGAAGCAAGCGCTTCATCGTCAGAGTCACGAAGTATACATCACAAAGGCCATAATTTAATTTCAAACAAGGTAACAGATTTCAGTGGTAACAATTGATAACAAATTCCCTTTAATTATGGCCCCCAATTATGGCCTTTGTGATGTATACTTTGTGACCCTGACGATGAAGCGCTTGCTTCGAAAAGCTTCGGTCAAAGTTTATTAATAAAATGTAGGTGTTTTTTTTTTTTATAAAAATGTTACATTATTTCTAGCGCTTGGCTACACCCTACATACCAATCAATTTTTCTCGCTGCATGTATATTTGTAAACTTTCCGGTCAATGGTTATGATCCCGAAACATTATCATCGTAGCATATCTCTAAAAAATTACAAATTTTTTCCAGATATGATGTGCGACGGAAACAAAGTATTCATCATGAGCTTGCTCCTAGTCGGCCTTTGCAGTCTGAGCCAAGCGGAGGAGTCAGCGGCTGTTTCAGCAGGCAGACAACCGGACAATCCCTCAAATCAAGAGCCCAGCGCCGTCGAAAAAGAAATCGTAGCGCCAGCTTTCCCTAGTAAGTCTCACATCTCTCTCAAGCTCCCCCCTTTCGGCCCCCCTTAACGGCTCCCCCATTTTACCCGTGATTAATGATGTTCACTGCTCAACAATGGTTGTCACATTCTTCCGAAACCTCGCTATTTCCCTGCCTTGCTAAGGGAGAACGCTATATGAGCCCTCAGATGTTGCCAAATATCCTTCAATAAATACAAATTATCATGAAAACGTTTTAATATTTTTCTTAAAATTTCGTATGAAATTGTATTCGCAATTTGATCTAAGGTACCTGAAACTTTCAGGCCGAACTGTTCATATCCATTTGAAAAATTAAGTATGCCATCGAGTAAAATTTGGCAGCGTTCAAAAGTTCATATGGCGTTTTTCCTCAGATTGGCAATTCTCTTATCGATGCCTTTAATGGGAGACTTTTACAGTCACATCTGACAATGATGCAGCTCGCCGACATTATGCACAACGCATGAATACCGTACTAACAGGCTTTCAATTGATCTCTGGGGGTAAAATTTACCTTTTTTCAAGTCCCCATGGCTTAAAAATGCTACTTCGCTTATCTCTGATTTCCTCACACATTCCACACATCTTTTCACGCAACAATCCATCAAAGTCAAAATCCTACATTCATAATCGCTGAAAAATTGATATTTCCGATCATTGTTGACTACTTCAAAATGAAAAACGATTAAAAGACGAAACAATAGATCACATAGATAAGTCCTCAGTGCAATCAACGATTCTCTGATAGAAAGTGAGCGTCTTATTCTCATTTTATATGCTTGCAGAATTCGAATAGAGCATTATAAAAACGATAAATAATTAAGCACACAAAAATCAGAGATTCCTTGTCCGAGAAGTGTAAGAGGAGGTCAAACTAAAATTCTACGTCGTAGAATTAAGTAGGTAATTGTCTTTTGTCGAACGAAGGGCTGCAACTACATTCCAAGGTTGCAAAATTGAGTCAGACAAGTCTATTTTTTACAAGAATATACCTGTGCAATGTTTGTTTAGAATTCTTCTTATGTTTGAATGAGATCAGAAGAAAAATCAGTGAAATTTTCAGTTCGAAATTCCCAACATTCTCCTCGTAAAAATGCAATTTGGGAAAAGAAATTTTCCAACATTGAAATGTAGTTACGTTCTTCGGTGAGGAAAACGCGAAATGTGCTGAGCATAATAATTTTATCCGATTAAACAACGACGTAACTCACCTCAGAGATAAGGTTCCACCAGAAGAAAATCCTATATCATCTCAGTGTTTCATTATTTCAATATTTGTATCCAGAGGTAACGCTGTTATTCTTAAAATATGAAGGATGGATTTTTTAAGCTATATTTTCAATTCAAAATTCCTGAGGAAAAAATTGAAAAATATGAAACAAAATCTCATAGAGTAAAGTCATGACATTTACACCGAGAATGAAAGAATATTTGATAAAACTATCGCCGTTTTTTATCGTTTAGTACAGTACTTTTTCATTATCAATTGAATAAGTTCAACCAGAATCAACCCAACAATATTTAACGAGTCTTAATTTCTTTTCATGTTTTATTTTCAACAGAAAACTAAATAATTTAACGGTTTGAAACTGTTGTAAAATTCCGTCGATTGTAAAGAATGAACTCGCAAAGTTCCATGTTAGAATGTCACTTATTTTCAAAAACAAAACAAAGAAATTAAAAATTAAAAAATAAAGTAATAAAAATCGTGAGAGAGTTAGACAGCGTTGAGTGTAGATGTAGAACTGATTCTGGCTATCATTTTTTAACCTACACAACCTAACGATGCAACTATTCGTGCTCTTAGGGACGCGTGGGGTATCATGCAGAATTGAAGGCGTTTTTCAATCCATACTTTTTCGGTAGAACCCGGGCGCGGGCTCGCTCCGCGCTTCTGTTTGAAAAAATATACCTTTTTATGGTGGTATACAGCTTTGAACTCTAATTTACGGGGTTGCTTCACGAATTATTTACTCATAGTAATTTTTACGTTTTACAATTCTGTTCAACATGTTTTAAAACATTCATCTTTCAAAATTGTTTGAAATAATCATGGAGACACTATAATTCGTTCAATGGTTATGCATTCTCAATAAAAAGTTTTAAACATGTATGATACGAATCGGACCACTGTGACCATTCTCGATCTTGTTTCTTACAATCATTTAAAAGCGTGACACCGAGCTACTTTGCTTGACAAAAGACAAAAATAATTGGCTATTAACTGGGACTCAGAATTTTTCAGAAATTATGCTTCTCGGTTAAAGCGGTTAAAAAGGGCAAACATTTATGGTTCATGGGTGAATTTTCAAGTCAGATATTAAGGTTTCTAATTTTAGAACCAATTAAGTCATTTGCCGGTACAATATTGCTCCCCAAATGTGCGCAGGCATGTGAGGATACGTTCACAGTCGTGTAAGAAATGTGTGTATTTTTCCCAAAAAATGAAATTCCTTAAAAAACATCAAGATCTGCATATCACGTCTTAGTCAATAAAACTACGCAAGAAAGCATTTGGAATAGATGACACCTATCTTGTGTGCATTTGCAGGTATGCCTGTAAAACAACACAAATGGATACTTGGTAGCACCAGTAATACAACTGGGATGCAAAAGTATACTATAGGTAGTACCAGTCCGGCTTTTGCTGAGCGGAAATTATGAATGAACTTAAAAAGGGATCTGACTCCCTTTAATGAAATCCACCCTTATAAATAATCCGCCGATTGATTTGAATTACTGCGCGACGCGCCGGAGCAACTCTAAAGCACTACTTCGTTGGGTTGTGTGGGACTTAAACCTTGCTTCTCCAAGTCTAAGACGTGCCTTATACTGCCGTGCTAAGGAAGAACGCCGTATGAACATTCGAGAGTTGCCAAATTTCCTTCGATAAAACATGTATTTTTGACGAAATTTATGCACATTTTTCTTTGAAATTTTCAGAAATTTTAGAGTAAATTGCGTACAAAATTATCTGAAAATGTTGGAAAAAAATATTCAAAATTTTCCTAGTAAATTCGGTTTTTATTGAATGAAACTTGGCAACGTCTGAAGGCTCATACGGCATTTTTCCTTAGCACGGCAGTATAAGTCTGCGAATGCTTGCCATGAACATTTTGAGCGTGAAAATCAACACTTAACCATGGCAGAGGATGTTTCGGCGAGCCTGGAATGTCATTATTTGAAGCACCTCTGCACTGCGCCCTCCACTTTTTTTTCACTCGAACGTTCTTCTTCATCTCAAAAAAGTTGAAGAGTGAGCTTTCCGAGTCACGAACAAAATCTGTCAAATCTTTAGCCCATTTCCCACCTCTTTTCTTTTATTCATCTTCTTTCGTCTCCAAATTTTTCTTCTTCGCCTTGAAGGTGACGACTTTAAAAGCGGTATTAGGACGATCCGTTTGTACTCCTTACAGCACCAAAGAGGATTACAAACGTTGAAAAAGTCGTGACTTTTGCCTTAGGAGCAGCTTCAAGTAAAGCATAGTGTTCCAAGAATAATCGTTTCATTGATCAGTTGCAACGTTTTTTAGAGTGCAACATCTAAATATAATTTCATAGAATTTTCATATTGGGTGACAAAGTTGTGTCGTTTTTCCCATAAAAAAATGTTACTGTTTATCTTCCGCCCCAGTTAATTTTAATGATCTACCGGACCGATTTATTACAGTTTTTGCGGCTATAGGCAGATTACAGACTTAGACGAGCCCACTCCATTCAAATTTTGGAATTTTGGAACTAGGTTTTTTTTCAATTACGTAATAAAGTTCTGCGTTCTCCCATGCAAACAATGTTCATGTCCATTTTTGTCACAGGATCTACCGGGCCAATTTTCATAACTTTTACGTTTTTTGACAAAAACATAGTTCCTAGATTCCACTGAGTCCCCGTGTCAACTCACGGGAGAACGCAAAGCGCCCTCTGAGGGTTGGGCCGCCAGGAAAATTATAGGAAAGCTGGAGATGTGCACCGGAAAAAAAGTCGCGTGGATATAGAGTCCAGACTCTTGATGACATTGAGAGGAAAAAACACTCTTGATTCAATCGGATTTTTCCTTGAATCGAAGAGCGAGGCCTCTTGATTTAAGCGGATTTCCTTCTGATACAAGCAAAAATCCGATTGACTTAAGAGTATTTTTCTCGTCAATGTTTTTAAGAACGTGGGCTCAAGATCCAAAGCGATTTTATTTTCAAATGTAGGCTCTCTTAAATGTAAATTTGTATCTGATTGGAACCTATTTTGCATGAGTGGTGTAACTTTTGCACGAACATCACTCTCGTGATGAAATATTGCTTCGAAATCTCCTCTTAACCAAGGCATTATATGATTTAAACGAATTCCTGACTTCAGCTGTTGAATAACATTCTACCAACCACCACTTAATTTAACATTTTTAATTGTAATTCATATTTTTAATTATTGTATATTTCAATTCCTAGTGTTATTTGACTTGTGCCATAGCTTCGATAATGGGGCTTTCATGTACGTAATTATAAGAAATACATACATATCAAGCCGCTACCTCAGCGTACTAGAGCGCTCTGCGACTCCAAATCGCCATCGGAATCGATCCTCCCACAAATCATCGGGCAGATTACACCGTCTGATCTCCCCCTCCACTCCCTCCCGCCAACCTTTTACTGGACGTCCACGCCGCCTTCTTCTGGGAGGAACCCAATCAAATACCTTTCTGGGCAACCTAAAATTAATTTGATATAATTTTAATTTAATTTAATTTTATTTTTTTTAAATTTAATTTTATTATAATAAATAAAAATAAAAAATAAAAAAAATAAATAAATACGACGAACTAATAACAAGAAGGACTGTCCGCAGGTGATTTCTCGCTGACGAGCGGGCTGTCGACACCCGCCCTGGTGGGGGTAGCTGTGGCCTTTGCCGCGGGCTTCTTCCTCCTCTCTACGGCCTGGCCCCTCCTCAACATCCGAGCTTGCGCCATTTTCGGAACCTGTGGTCCAGACTACAACGCCTACAGCTCCGTCGGCACCCCCTACAATAATGACGCCTACACCTACAGCGCACAGCCGCCCTACACCTCGACTAGTTACCAGAAAAGGTAAGCGGGTCGTTATTCACGTACAGCATGTCCAAAAGGAAAAAACAAGACGACGGTTCCACACTGAAAAAAAAATCTAGGTGTTTTACTAAGAAAAGGGTAAAATTACCAAGAATTCAGGGTTTTATTTGATCCCAGGTTTCCTCTTGGTAAAATTACCATTTATGGAATTGGTAATTTTACCGAGATTATTGAATTTTCTCGGTAATTTTACTGGACTTTGGTAAAAATGCCAATATTTCTTATCAACTGCGGTAGAATTACCGAGATGAAATGGCAAAGTTACCGAGAATTGATTACCAATAAAAGTGGCATTCTTACCTGAAAAAAAACCAGTAAAAATACCGGTTTTTAGGTAAGCTTACCAGTCTGTTTTGCTAAAATTACCAATAATTGGTAAACAAAGTGAGATGGTAAAGGTACCAACGGACCTTGGTAAAAACGCCGAGAAGTTTTTTTCAGTGCAGGATTCCGGTTTGAGGATTTGCTGTTTTGATTCATGTGTAATACGTTTCGCTCACTCCAAAAAACACCCAAGATTTGGACTTTTGAAATCAATTATCCTCCAGCAGGTTGATTTTTATGACCAGAGCGGTGACTGACAGGAGTGACAAGGCAATCAGAAACTTAGACCCGAGGGGAAGGAAATTAAAATTTCAAAAATCAAGATCTGTGGTGTGTTTGGAGAAAGTGGGGGACGTATTAAACATCAATCGAAACGCCGAATCCCGGAAGAAGTCACTCGTAAACATAGTTTTGCCGATAAAATTGACTGATTTCGGAAAAACGTATGGTTTGGAATTCCCAAGTTATTTTCCATTCAAAATGAATGGAAACTTAGGAAACTTCCATGTATATGAGGACATTTTGATTCATCTTAATTACCAAATAGACAAGAGCAAGGACTGGAAACGAGGAAACACATCAACACAACTCTCACCTGCAACAGAAACGAAAACAAATTCATCAATATCGACACTTTATTTTCATGGAATATTATGGAAAAAATCCCCACGAAGGCAATGAATAATATTTTGTTCCGCATTGATGAATAAAGTACGAAACCGCATATCACCATTGCGATGTTTCAAAAGTTCTACTCCTATTTTATTATTTCAAGATGAAACGAGTCAACTTTATAAGTCCCCATAAGGTACATTTGAATTTTTACGGAGTATTCTTCTGACGATGAAGAAAAATCATAGTAGTATTAAAGACATTGGGTTTAATAATTTTTCTAAGAAACAGTAAAGTATGACAGGATGTCTGCAACGTTGCAAACGGAGATACGTGGTTTCGCACTCTCGCCATCGATATGTTTGTCTAGAAATGAGTTTTCGAACTTAATGCCTCATGGTGAAATAAAACTATCAATGAAACTTGAAATCTCTTCCAAAGTCTGATAACATTTTTTTTGCTTCCCGTTGGCGTATTTTTATTCTTACAATAAGGTTGAGGAATGATTAATTTTACTACACTCTAGGTGCATTCTTGAAAATTCAATTTTTGAACTTCTCATTAAAAAAATGTATTATTATTATCTTTTTTCAGGTCCATCTCAAGGAGACGGAGAGCACTGCAATAAGCAGTGATTACAACGTGGGTGATACTACCTCCTTTACCTAATTTAAATTGTTCCTAGATTTATAATTTTAGTAATTTATTATTAATAGTGATAAAGTATAATTTCATTTTTATGAATAAATTTTTTTCCGAAAACCTACTTCAACATTTTAATTTATGTGAGAAAATATTGCCCGAATAATAAAACTAATGTTGTCATAAGCGAAATGCTAACCTGTGACGCACCTGATTACGTCAAGCAATTATAGATCAAGGTAGCAATAAATCAATGGTGGAACTAGGAAAACACTAGGTATGTAGATTTGTGACCTTGTAAACACCCTGCCACATTTAAATTTTATTTTAGAGTAGCAGTGCCACGTGCTTTTCATATGTAGAATTCTGAACGCTTTTTCTACAACGATCAAGAAATGGTTTCCACAAATGTCATCACTATAATGGAAAAAGTTTGATCTCATGCACAAGGATACATTAACATAAATTAAAATTACAAGAATAAGTTATGTCTGCACCTATAAAATCTGGGGATATGTTGATTATCATCATCATGACCACCTGATAATTCTGATGATCATTTTTTCTTTCGGGGTCTCCTTACTTTGTCCTAAAGTTGTTCAACAGACACGGTAGATAGCGCGAGGATCGCACTTTTGTGACATATATTCATGACTGCGTTTTGATGTTGTCTTAGATTTTACGGGTTGCTACGCTAGGCTCACTGACGAATACGATCTACACTGATGTGGTCGAAAAAGACCCAAAACGTTACATAGATCACTCGGCGTAACCTCAACATAATATTCCAATGCAAGCTGTCTGAGCTGAACACTCTCTCCTTCAGTCTTGTACTAGTACTCATTAGAGCTCAAAATTTTTGATTTTAATTGAAATTTTTAAACTTTTTGGCCTTATTTTCCCCGCAAAATAGTGTGGACCCAGTACTGGTTCACCACCTTTTTTGCATTTAATGTATGAGCTCCGAGTCCAAAAATACCTCAGTCCTCTTCCAACAAATTTTTATTTAAAAAAGTCTTTTATATGGGCCAAAAGCTTCAATTTTTTGATAATTCGATTTTATAATGGAATTAAGTGAATGAAAAACAGTTTTGCCATTTTCCAGAATCGCCACTACACCCAATGCTTGGGTTACATTATTGCAATAATAATGAACCACTATTTCACAAACGTTTGAGAAACAACGTATGTGCCATTAACATCCTTATACAGATAGGGGTTTTTATAGGTGAGCTACACATGCAGTAGTTCCTTATTTCAAAATGTAGTTCAGCTGCGATCCGCATTCAGCACGCTTCTAAAAACAAGCTCCATTCGTGATCCGGCGCATGAAATTGAGGGCTCTACTAGCCTTTCAGAGCTAGCTCTTTCCCTCTCATCCACCCCTCTCTAGCTCCTCCTTTCGTCTCTTCCTCTTAGACTTCTCACCAGCGGCGTGGCGTGCTTGGCGATGTATCGATTGATCGGTCATTTAAACCTATGGAAAAGGATCGATAAACAGGGTGTTCGCACCGCACACCTTAATAATCGATTCTTTATCGTGGGTTCAAATGGTATAACAATCGATACATCGCAATTCACGCCACGCCACTGCTTCTCACCCACCTCGTCGCACACTCTAAGATGAGCGTCATGCAAATGCGTATTCATTAGAGCTCGAGCGAGCGTGATGAAGGATAGAATCTTGCATTCCAACCTATATGCGAACAAACCTCACGCACACGTTTTATGAGGGTGTGGGTGTGTTGGAGCTCATGGGTTTTCTGAAATTGTGCATATTGTGTGAAATCGCACAACCGTCTGTTCGTCGGTATAAAAGAATCATCACCCTGGAAATGGAGTTACTCTCAGAGGAAGTGATTCAGCCATAATTCCATGAAACAGTTCTCACGGAGTAGGTATATCGTCGGTGTAAGTCGGCAATCACAATACATAACTCGTTCGTAGTGTCTGAAAATCTCTGACTCTAAGTTATTTTTTTGAAGGAGAACAAATTGACATCATGCCTTGAATTTTTTGTAGAATTTTATTCGCACAGAGAAGAAAAATCACGGCAGTTTTTAATAATTGCCATTGAGTAGTATTCCGTTTAAAAAATTAAGTATGATAGGAAGTCTGCGACGTCGGAAACCGAGTTATGTGATAGCCGACTTACACCGTCGATATGCATTGAAAAATAATAAATAAGAACTTAAATCTCTACGTGAGCTTTACGGTAGGAGACGCATTATGAACTGTGAAGAAAAAGGGGAGACACGCGGTGTTTAGACTGACATCTCTACATATAACTAACTTTTATCACTTTTTAAATAGCTATAAATTCCGATGAAAATGTGTATGCATTTTCATGAAAATTTCGATAAAACTTGCTGACTTTTTGAAAGCAAACGAGTTTTTTTCCTTTTAGAAAATATTTCTGAATACCGATGGTCTTAAACAAGGGAAACTTTTGATTTCAAAAATCAGTGTTTTTTGTGTGGATGCTGATCGTCGTTAATCAAAGAGACTAACTTCATTTTTTACATGAATGAGCGAAGGTTTACTCCTCAGATAGCTCGTGAGTACGTAATGTGCAAAATTATTTTTAGGTATTAAAAGAGATGAGAGAGAATGCCATTTCGATCAACGCACAAAGTTAATTACATTTCTATAGTTGTCCAATTTTCCTGTTTGTTTTATTTTATTAGAGAAACACTGCGCAACAAAAAACATTGGAATCCTCAATAACTTTTCCATATATTTTGAAGAATACTCGCAAAATTTTTTATGTCGAACAATTTGTCTGTTAGAAAAATGGAACATGAAAAAATTTTGCGAACGTCTGATGTAAATAGAAGAATATAATTAATAACTCTATTTCCACGATCGAAATGAGGAGATCAAAATGTGACATCGATGAGCCCCAACCCCGGCACCTTACCTTGTACTAAAGAGAGTTCGAGCTATGGAAGTTCGAACTATCGAGAGTTGTCAGTATTGCTACTACATTGAAACATTGTGTTAGTTGCCTGTCTGCTAATGGAGGGGGATCCTCTTTTTGAAATTATTTGCAATAAAATTGGAATGATAGTTAAATTGTATTGTAAAGAGTCTATCTTTTTAATACACATCTCGTCAATTATGTCGATCTTTTTCAATGTATCGCTCGCTTTTTAGCCTCTGTTTAGGGTGGAAACAGAGGTGATGCCGTCCATTTGGCAATGAGGAAACGCAGCCGCAGGAAGTTCTAAAGGCACTCATCCTCATACACTGTGGGAACATGCTTACGCGATAGGCGGAGTACTGTAGCTAAACATTTCACCCCCCCCTCCCGACCTAAGTCCATTTCCGCATGAGCCCTGTTCCGTGTATGATTCTTTACCTTACGGGGCCTCTTGTAGAAATAGAGATACGCCCTTATGTTAGAGGGGCGACGATTTAACCGAGCAAACAGGAACCCGGCTGCCCACCCCTGTTTGCTAACTCATTCGCTGTTCCAAATATTATATTTCCTCGGTTTACATAGAGATGTTTCAATGTGCGATCGTCCACTCGTCGATATTCGTGAAGTTTAACATGATTACCCTGCCAAAAACCTTCGTTTCTTGGAGCACCTCAAAGGAGTCAAAGGTCGAAAATTGAAAAGGAGAGAGCAGTATTATTGGTGTGACGGGGTATGGGAATTTCACGCGCTGGTGTTTCGCCTTCAATTTGTTATGTAGGCCAGAAAACTCTCATCCTCCGTGTAGCTATAGTTCACTGCTCACGGATTCCTCTTGTACAAAAAAAAAATAATGTAAGTGGATAGATGTCTGGTTATATTATATGATCTTTAAAAAAATAGATTCTGCACTAGAACTTGATTCCTGATAATGCATTTTATGCAGCTGGTTGCCGTAACTATGTAGATGAATGCCTAGCATTGACGGAATTCTAGTGCTGGCTACTAATAATTCTAGGAGATCACGCATAGCTAAGAATCTAGTAGCCATTGATATTTTTCTTTATCTGTATAGTTTGTTCTAGTTTAGCAGTAAGTTATGTCAAACTCCAACCTGATAATTTTGATACCAGCTATGTATGTTTTATTTTTTTTTTCATTTTTTGTTTTGTTCAAAGCGCTTTGATGCGTGATGAAAAATTAAAGTAAACAAATTCGTCATTCTATTCCCTATTTTGGGGGGAAGGGAAGACTTTCAATAACTATGTTTCACACTACAAAAAGGAAGTTGATGTCCACTCCATCAGTTTGGCCTTGCTTTTCTCAAAAATAAACATTTTACGGAAGGAAATTTGGCAACTATCGAATGTTAATACGGCGTTTTTCCTTAGCACGGCAGTATAAAAGAGGTGGCTCGATTTAAAAAAAAAGAATCATGAGCTTATAGCGTTACGTAATTTATAGACTATCCCATAGAGACTTTACTTGTAATTCATGCAAAGATAAATTGCAAAAAAAGTGCAACAGGCGCATCGTACTTAATTTTCACAGCGGAAGCAGTGATTCCTCACTACTATCTGGGGAGCCTGTATGGCATAGAGTATATAGCGGCGAGGCAGTGCAGAATTAAGGGCCTAAATGAAATTGAGTTAGGCAACTCTCTAAATATTTGATAAAATTCCCGGTAACCCAATTTGTTCTCGGGATCGGCCCGGCCCGGTAATTGTTGGAACCAGGAAGCCGATTCGTTAGCAATGAAATATCTGGGTCAATCCCGCTACCGACACCCCTTTGCCCCAACCCCCTCTTCGGCACCCCCACCCCCTTTCTCGTAGGGTGCGCGCGTTAGCTTTAGCGCCCGCTTATTTTATGCAGATTAAGTCCTGTTTGACTTGCACTTTTGATTTACGGCCGGGGTACCGGAGCAGGACACCCCTCCAACTCCTCTTCCCCTCTGTATCGCTCCTGTCAAAAGGATCACTAGTTCGATCACTTAATCAAAGTGCAGAGAATCGCGAAACGTTCCCAGGATCCAGCGTTTGCCAGCTTTATCCTCGTAAAAGTGAACCAGTATGACGTCAGACTGACCAGCGTGACCTTGCCTCATAGAGTAGTCTAAAAGGTTCCTCGAATTCATTATGTCAATGCTTTCTAGTTTGCAACACTGCATGATGTTGCTCCATTTAAATCCATTAAAAATATCG